AGAAAAGCCTTCAACATCAGTTTTTAAATCTGGGGAACACCAAATGGAACTGGTGTAGCCTTGAGTCAACTCTAGTATTGTCTCGTGGCAATTTCAAACCATAGCAAGCAGAGACAACATATTGTTCCGATCTCGAGGTACTAATAGGTTAGAAAAGTCTCCAGCATAAGTTTATAAATCTGTGAATTACCATATTAAATCGGTGTGGCCTTGAGTCAACTTAGTGGAACCATTGGAAGCAGATCTACAGTCAGTAAGTCAACTTCTCACACATTCCATCAGACATCTGCTGCATCGTGGGCCATGTTGACGTTACCAGCAGAGCAGCGAGGAAGATCAAGGAAGAGCGATTTCCACACGCCAAACTCGCCATGTTCGGTCACGTGGCGCCAGAGGAGACAGAGCACTACAAGAGTGACGAAAAGGCCCTGGGTGTGGGGAGGAAGGAAGCCAGCATCCAGGACGACCTTGGCAAGGCTGATGTCGTCTTCTCCGTAGGAGCGCGCATTCATCGCCACTTCAACCAGTTTCTCCGTCGGCATAACGTAGATCACCACATCTTCCTACCTGAGCCTTCCGAGGTTTTCAGTCGCGCAGCAGTGAGCTTTTGTGAAGAAGATGGCGTCCGAAAGCCAGAGAGAGTGATTCTGTCCATCGGCAGGGTGCGGAATGTGGAGAGGCTGAAAGGGCACGACCTGGCGGCTGGAGGCGTAGACAAGGCGGCGCTGCGGCTTGACCATCTGTACACACTGAGGCTGAGAGTCCGCGGCATCGATGAGAACGACTTCAAGGAGAGCAAGAGAATCCTGGATGAGAAGCTGAGATCCGGACGGGTCAAACCCACCCTTCTCCCGTACGGCACTCAGGAGGAGATCCGCCGAGACATGGAGAACTGTCACCTGGTCCTGATGCCGTCCCGGGCCGAACCGTTCGGACTGGTCGGTCTGGAGGCCATCGCGGCAGGAGTTCCCGTCCTCATCTCAGAGCACTCGGGCCTTGCAGAGCTGTTAGAGGAGCTATCAGACAGGCTGGGGCAACCCAAGTTCCGCCACTGTATCATCAGGATGAAGGGAGACACCGCGACCGACGCTGATGTAGAGAAGTGGGCAGAAAGAATCGAGGATGTCATCAAGAACGCCAGGTCAGAGTTCGCGGAAGCACGCGCCTTCAGGGAGAAACTGCTGGCCTCCAAGTACTGGGAAGAGTCTCACCAGAAGTTCCTACAGGCCTGCGGCATCACTGGTAAGGAACCATCATCATATCGGACTCATTGTACTCGTCAAGGTCAAGATGCGCTTCCTTTTAGCATTTTTTAGGTTTCTAATCATACATATATATTGACCTTTGCATAGTTCATCTAGCTCAGTTACAGTTACAGGATGTTACAGTACTATATATAAACACGAGCATAGTTGATACTAGTAATCGTAATCACGGATAGTCTCACTTTCCCTCATATTATTTCATATTGAGAAGTACTTACAAATCTTATGTTTTTTCACAGCTCACACCTCCAGAGCAACCATGCCCGTCAGTGCTGAACCAATAGAGAAACCGGAGCAGAGGCCCCAGGCTGAGACATTAGAGGAAGACGAGTCCAGAAGTCCATTGGAGCAGTTCAGTCTGACACAAACCGTGACCCCAACAGCCCCCATGCCGGCCGGCAAACAAATGGAAACACCCATGAAGCCACAGGCAGACAACACGAAGCATTCAGCTGTAAACGCAGAGGAGAAAGCTACTGACATGACGGATGTCGACGAGTCCAGCAAACGGGTAGAAAAGCGCCCCCTGTTGGCTCAGTCAGGAAGAGCGCCTGCGGCCAAGAGCCCGGCCCGGCTGCTGCAACAGGAAGAAATAGAACTGGAGGAGCTGGCTGCAGTTACAGAGGAAACCCGCCTGTCGCCAGCCGGGGAGGAGCAGGGGGAAACAGGAGAAACCCAGACTGTCGGGGACAGGGCCTGCTGCCCAGCTGCCCGCATTGTACATGCTCTGTGTTGTAGGTAGTGAGATGATACAAAACCCACCATCATCATTCCCTGCTCTAAGTGTGTCCAGGAACGGCCTTCTGATGGCCTTTGCCTTAGTGGATGATTCCAACATTTCCAGGCTGAAAATTTAAATTTTCTAAAACTATTTTTTGTTCTGAGCGTACAATTAATGAACAAATGTGTAGAGGATAGAGCCACACTGATGAAATGTTAGATACTCAGATTTAATTACAGGTAAAAAAGTAGAGGAGATCCTTAAGATTAGATCAGTAAATGATATTTGGAGATTTTATTTAACCAGTTCTATGTAAGGCCACAGCAATTTAATCAATTGGTTCTCGTATTTGTCCATTTTTTACATGGAAAAATATACTTCAGGTTCTGAATCAACTTCACAATGGCCCCAACAGTTGAAGAAAGTCCTCATCTTTCTTATTGTAAGAGTTTTTCCAACTACCAATGCAGCGGTTTCATTAATTTGATTTTAAATTACATCCAACCTGGTACATGTATGTTGACTCTTCATGCATGGCTCCTAACATAGCATTTGGATCTATCATAGTTTCATACTGTATTTTTTCAGAAAAATAATCCTAGAACCAACAAACTAAATTGGTGTGACCTACCTAAGCATTTCTACTATAGTCAATGATTGTTGTTTTGATACAGAGCATTTTGAAGCTCAGATTTTTGCATGGATTTTTCTATCTTCTGGTGTAAATAAAGAACTGCAAAAGTCACAGAACACAGTTGTACAGTTTCTCTTCCGTCGGAAGGTGTTTTTTAATGTTTTTTTTTCTCCTGCAAATAAAGCATTGCAAAATCACAGAACACAGTTGTACAGCTTCTCTTCCGTCGGAAAGTGTTTTTAATGTGTCTCATCAGACAAAGCTTCCTAATGGCCGCATATTCACACTGGTCACACTTGTAAGGCTTGTCATCTGTATGCGTTTTAGCATGTCTGGTGAGACTGGCCTTAATAGCTGTCCTAAACCCGCACTCACCACAACTATAGGGCTTCTCGTCAGTGTGTTTAATCATATGTTTGGTCACGTTTCCCTTCCTGTATGCTCGGTAGTCACAGTGAGTACATTTGTAAGGCTTTTCCCCGGTGTGAATTTTCATGTGGTCTAAGAGGTGGGATTTCTTAGCTGTTTTGTGTCCACACTCCCCACACATGTAGGGTTTAAGGCCGGTGTGTTTGGTGACGTGTGCTTCCAAGCTTTGCTTCCAGGCCGTGGTAAAGTCACAGTGGTCACATTTGTATGGCTTTTCTCGTTTGTGTGTTTTCAGGTGCTGGGTGAGGTTGGACCGTTCGGCTGTGCTGTAGCTGCACTGGCTGCAAATGTAGGGTTTCTCGCCGGTGTGTTTGAGTTTGTGCGCACGCAAACGCGGCCTCCAAGGTGTCGAAAAGTCACACTGGTCACACCGGTAGAGCTTCCTTCCCTCTGGGTTGTGTGTGTGCATGTGCCGATCCAAACTTCTTTTTCCGGTTGCAGAGAAGTCGCACAGACTGCAAGAGTACAGCAAGTGTCTTTTCATATGTTTTGTGAGGGTGGACGTGCTAAGTCGGGTAGTGTTTAATCTAGTAAACTTAATTCAGTGGTACGATGTATATGCGTACATGTGTTTCTGCTATGTTGATTGTGATGAATATACTTAAAAAACAGTACCGAACTTAACTATAGTAGTAAATAAAAGTTAAGTCCTGTAATTTCGTTTACTATCATAATTATTGTAAAGTTTGGTTTGAAGTAAGCATTACCCGACTTTGCTAGCATTTACCATTATTGGTAAATCCAACTCTTCATGCAGTGTTCATGGTGCAATAGTCATTTCAAACTGTGGAAATATTCCCTTCACCATTTACTCCGCGTAGCCAATCCCGACAGAAAGCACTGAGAGAAGCATCTGGCTCCTAGGAGAGGATCCAAACCGTTACAGAGTTCTATGTTACTAGGTATAGATATATCTATATAAATATATAATATAGCGACCGAGCTGCTTTGGTATAGAATCCCTTCGGTTCAGTTTGTGAGGTTTTTCTAACTGTTTGCGTTCCAGGCTGAACATATCTGACGTGTATCGCCGCTTGTAGAGGTAGACTATATTCTGTAAAGTCATCACGTTTGGAAAAAATGTGATCACCCCTTCCCCCCTCATGGAAGCAGGGATGGAATCGCCCTGGCACATGTACCAAAACTTTGGAAATAAAATTCCATCAACAACTCCATATTAACCGTGTTTGAGTTGTATGTGTGTGTAGAATGATTGTGTGTATGCGCGTTTACGACGAAAAGTCAGAAAAAAGGATTGAAGAAAAATGCATGTACCACAAAAATATTGCCGACATTAAATGATATTTCAAGACATTTTCCATTCCAGCGAACCCAAGAGCGTTAGGTCTTCCACTGCCGTCACATTTCAAACACACACACACAAACACACACACACACACAGACACACACACAGACACACACACACACACACAAACACACACACACACACACA